TTAGACGTTGCAGCACTCGTCATTGTCAGTGACGTATCAGTACTCTCGGTATCAGTGCCGGCACCGGCGTGATCGATAAAAAAGATTTTTTTCTTTATATAATGTCATGGTTTCATCTCTCATTTTTCTTAATCATATCGAAACGATCCCAATTACCTTATATTATGTTATTATTTTTGACATATGAGTAGATTCACAGACGTGTAATTGAATTACCGATACAAGGGGCACGACCGCTCAATCCTCTAGCCATGACTCTGGCCACTGGATGCAACATCTTAGCGATGCCTGTTAGGACCAATCTTTTCGTAAATAACGATTAATTTTGTTGTTGTTTTATTGTTGAACACAGTTGTCAAATCCATTATCATTATTCTATATCATTCATTCGACGAAATACCGTCGTAACATTGAGAAGATGTCGTAATCTATGGCTAGACAGTTAGGCTATTAGAGGCCATACAGGTTAGGGTTTGCACGATGGTTTTAGTGTTGCATACATAACCTACAGGCAAACCCTAGCGTGTATATGATAAACTGTATAACATATAACCAAGCGAATATCGATATTCATATTTTATGCCGCTCGGTAACCGAGCGTGTGTGGCGTTCGTCGAGCTTGCCTGCACAGTTCGCAGTTTTCAATTGTCAATAACCAATTATATGAAATTCGGTTATGCCTCTCAGTTATGCATGCACGGCTGAAAATATCATGCAAACCCTAACGTGTATGGCCACCATAACGCACCCCTAGGCTAATACTGTGCTAGCACTGTTGTTTAATTGAAAAAGAAATGGTTTTCACTCCAAACTTCAGTTTTAGAAGTTGTATAATATGTTTTTTTTTGTTTTACACATTAACGCAAATAAAACCTGGAACTGTCAGTGAACTATAAGCGTTTACGTAAATGCATGAGTCACGTAAAAATAGATACAATATAAATAAACTTGTAAATGAAGTTGTAGGTATAACGCACCGACCTCCATGGCGCAGTGGTTAGTGCGGGCGGAATGCGATGCGGAAATAAAGATAATTTCGCACGGGCCAGTTATAGGATGATAGACCAAACATTTATCATCACAAGCTCCTCCGTGCACCAACGGCACGTGAAGCCGTTAATCCCAGCTTCGTCTGCTGTCAACACCTAGTAGCTGTGCAATAGTTGCGCTAGGCATTGTGCTCCAATCGCATCAGAGAAAATAGACATTTATCATATACCTAATCTCTGATGCGACTGAAGTCGTTGAGTTTGCGACACGCGATGACTCTCGAAAACAGCTGAATTATAGATATGGCTCAGTAGAAGTGAGATTGGCTTATAATTCTTCAGATGCATATTGTAACCGTTTTTTTGAGAAAAAATAACGATATTTATATTTACGCAAATTTTCTTAATTAATGTTTTGACATTTAATTCCTTCGCTCGCACTCGTATCTATAGTTGAGTTGAGATAATTAGGTACTTGAGTAAAAATAATAGGTTAAGTAAATATTTTTAACTAATAGACTAGGATTCGAATAACGGTCAGTAGCTAATAATAATAGTATAATAAGTTTTATTCCGTGTTATTAAGTCATTGTTTTTGACGACCTCCGTAGCTGAGTGGTTCGCAAGCCGGTGTTCAAGGTGTCGGTATTTCTTGATGTACGGTCCTGGATTCGATTCCCGGCCGGGTCGATGTAGAAAATGGACTTGTCTATATTGTCTCGAGACTGGATCTTGCGGTACTCAGATACTCCTTAATACGGGGGCTTCAGAAACTCTTGGAATCTGAAAAAATATTGTTTATTAATTTAAATTTATTTGCTTACGTCATTACATTAAAAATAAAAAAAAAATGAAAATGTTCTTTACTCGTTATTCATTAAAATTTATAACCACTGATTCTTTCCTTTGAAGTATCACATATACTCAAGCAATACTTATACTCGACTCTACATATAGATATGTGAATAGACTTTCGATTTTTATATACATTTGAACCTAGATAGATTTACTTGAAGAAAAATATCATACGAGAAATAAATTATTAAACATTATTGTGCGTAACTCATAAAATGAAAAGTCCATCATCACACAAGATGGCAGCGAAGCATTAGAGATCGATAGAAAATTATTAATTCACAGACATCGTGCGAACGGGCCGAATGGTCGTGTTTCGTTCCATTTGTGTTCTTTTTATCAATACTTTATTTAATTTCAATTTTCATAATGAATTATGAAGTGGATGCATTTTACTTATATTTCTTATTTTTCAAGTTATAAAAAGGAATAATTTTTATATATACTTCGAAGCGGCTAGCTCTAGGGCAACATAAAAAGGGTTCTTTTGTTTTCCAAATTATTTCAGTAATTCTTTGTAGGCAAATGGAAACGCTAGCGATTGCTTATAAATTTGGTCTTTTATTATTATTTTACACTTATACAGTATTGAAATATAATAAATAATATAATATTTTTATCAGATTTATTTAATAATTTATCTCACTAGTGATATAAGTAGTAAAAATTGTATTTTCATTACAAGCGATAAAAGATTCTCATTGAAAAAAGACTAAAAAGTAGGGCTTTGGCCATTTTGAGAGTTACGAAGAAGTGAAATTAGACATACACCTATTGTAATGGTATCAGTTTTGCTTTAATGCAACATTTCAAAAAACTGTTCAGGGTCAAGTAATATATTTGCTTATACGTCAGTTAGAACCCCTTGAACCAACCCTACGCATCTGATCCCATTAATCGCTTACCAATTGTATTGTAATAATAAAACTATTAATAATATAAAAATTGTATACTTTATTACACACCATTGCATCAAGTTAAGTTAAAATAATCTGTATAAAATCCCTGATGGGGCCTTGTGCAGAGAAAAACTTAAAAAAAAACTAAGCAAGGGCATTTGTTCATGTTTAAAGAAAAAATATTTCACAACACTGTTACTATTACGCAGCAGTATTGTCACATGCAAAACTGTTAAGAGCTATTATTTTTTTATTCAAGAACTGGGTTGACATTTGGCCACTATCTGACCTGATGATAGGTAAGATGTGGCCTAAGATGGTATATGCCTACCCAGGAAGTGCCTATTGACTCTGGCTTTGAAGAGTGCCAGGTTATATTGATTGGAAATACATGGCCTGGCAATGCATTCCATTTCTTAGCTGTTCGAAAGAGAAAGGAACTGGAAAATTGCTCAGTGTGAGCAGGTGGGATGTCGATAATGTACGGGTGGAAAGCCATCATGGAGTTTCTTTGCACACTCGCCAAAATGCAGTCTATAAAACACCGAGACACCAGCAACCCTGCGCCGATGCTTAAAGTTCTTAAATCCGCCGTCCATCGCTAGAGCCGCGTTTCCAATTAGACTTTTAGCTCGGTTTTCAATAACACCCAAAGCGGCCAACTAATGATAACCAGAGTCATCCCAAAGGCAGGGACTCCATCATGACTCCATGCAAGGACGCATCTAAGATTTATACGGAAATAGTACTTGACCAGGCGAGAAGTATCGAGTAAGTCGTGAGTTCTCACGACTAGATCGACAAAGTGAACTTCGATACATCATAGAAACGCGCGGCACCGCACCATTTGTAAAGATGGGCCTACAAATGGCATTTTTGGGCAATGACCAAAACTGGGTCTTCTGTACTAAATACTAGTAAAGATTATAGGCTATGATTTACGCGGGCGAAGAATATTTTAGAAGTCCTTAGAAACTTAGTAAAATAGAATACTCAACAAAGATATTTATTACCGGTAAAATACCTATTTTCTATTTAAAAAAAAGAACAATAAGTTATTTCATCTGTTTTACCGAGTAGGCTATATAATTTTTTTTATGGAAAATGATGACGTAAGAGCGTGTCATAATAATAATATTGAACAGTGTGACCGCGACAACAGGTATCGATTCACCTCGAAACTGACCAATCTCAGCCAACGGATTCTGATCATTTATATATATTGTCATGCAAGTTTGTTACAATATTTGTCTATATTCTCCGCACCTGTCGTAAACGGCTATAGTATAAGTTAAATTATTATTGACTTTCATAGTAGTCATACTGAAATAAACAAACAATACACTAAATAACTAATTAGCAGTGGTCGGAATTAGGTAAAGTTATTCATGTACTTACACTGATTTCATACAGCGAAAGAATAAAGAGGATATGCCAGAAATCCCGAGATTAATTTTAAAGAGCAGAAAAATCCCGTGAATTTTTAAATAAAAAGTTATTTACTTTTACACAATTTAAACTACTGCACGCACGACGTTGCCAAACTTACATCAATGAAAGAAAGAAATAAAGAAATCCCGGGAAGGTCCACATTAATATCAACATTTCGGTGCAAGTACATAAATAACTCTACCTAATTCCGACCTCTGCTTATTAGTCTTTTAATGTATAATCTGAAAGTGTTACTGTTATTTATATCCACATTTGCATGCCGTGGCAACCTGTAATTAATACAAACGTTTACATGTTTTTTTTTAGTATTACGAAGGTGTCTTTCGAGTATTATTTAAAGGGATCTATGCATTTATTATTAAAGACAATTAACATATTTAATCTAAGTGTACATTAAACTTTTAAAGGAACCGAAACATCGTATATTTTTTTAATTACATGTGATAAAGCCGTACCGTAGCCTTAAATTAAGTTGACTATCAATTTACCTAATTAGGAATTCTATAAAAAATCCATTACAAACCTCCGTGGTGTCATTCATGGCGTAGATTAATTTTGACCATGAAAGCTTAAAACAAGATAAATTTATTTCAAGTCTAGACACATTTAAGAAGTATAGGAGGAGACAGATGGAGTACCGTGATCTTCTCGCTCTTTCTAACAGCTGTTTCTGCAAACAAACAGCCATATATTATACCCACTTTATAATGACTCTATGAAAAATTCTACCGATATTCTGTCCTTCCTTAAGACCACCTAATTTTTTTGAGATTGAATAAAAAATACCTTTTTTTACAGATATAAAATGGAAAATGATTTGGAGGAGGTTGCAATCAAGAAAGTGGTTGGTATGCGACAGAGGGTGCCACGGACGCTCTCACAATTTGACAAGCTTGATCAAGGTATGTTACTATCAATATTAAATTGCTCCCCTATAACATTGGCTGTAGTATTAAACTGAAATCTGAAGCTTAACGTACCTTCGCATGATAACGTTAGAGATATGAAATTGGTAAAGCTCCGTTGTTTGATTTCGGTTTTTGGCTTAAGTTATCATTGATGGAATCCTCTAACCAAAAATTTGCAAATTATCAAGCGTCGTCTGTTTCCAATTTCAATAAATATCATATTATTAAATAGGAAAACACCGGCCAATCCAGCCGGAAATCCAGACCAATATCCATGACTTGATAAACGTTCAGAAAAAAATATTAATCCGTCCATTTTAAGTCTTACTTCTGACTAAAACAATCTGATATTTCAAGGCTTGGAAAATATGGCTGATATCGACCAAATGGTGGACAAGTTAAAGATAAACCAATCGGTGCTCGACAGAATAACATTTGAGAGCGAAAGACTGAAGACCAGCCACAGTGAAGCGTCGTCTAGAAGAAACAGCGACGATGGGGGAAGAGCAAGAAAAGAAAATTTTAGAAAAGGTATCAGGCGAGCGCATCGCGTATGACACGCAACTATTGGTTCTACTAAATATTTTATAAACACTTAATTTCAACTCATACTATAAAATTTCCATTGTTCTTGCAGATGGGACCAATTCCGAACCACCAACAGCTGGAGTCACGCATCACAATGCATGGCACGAAATGGACAGCTCTAACTCTACTACCAGAACTGAATTAAGTCTATCTGATGGAGGAGAGGAGGTACGTATGGAAACACTGGTAATTTTAGGTTCCAGATAACAGTGACGCCCAATGACGTGTCACCAATGAAAGTTGTAATTAAAGTTACTTAATTAAAAAACAAGAAAATAACAGATAATAAAGAAATTGTTAATTTTAAAAGTAATAATTTAACAGGCAAAGTCTCGGAGGAGTCAGGAGTCAGCATTTCCCGGTACTCCTATACACGTTCGTCCTCCTTGGAGGTCAGCTGACAGTCTCACTCCTGATGCTGCTTTTGGCACATCTTTAGCCGATATCATGGAGAGCCCATCCAATAAGGTACACAACCTATTTTTATCGCAATTAGTTTCATATTTCATTTTACTATTTGGCTATTTTGAATAACACAAAATTTTCTTAGTTGTTATTTTTATTATTGCAAAAATTGACGCGGTTTGCTCACATATATTTGTTGACGAATAGGCTTTATAGCAACTTAATCTATAGCAGTAGCATCATAGGTAACGTCCTAGAAAAGAGATAGTATATGCACTACCTCTTCTTATGGCGAAACAATACTAAGTAAGTATTGTTTTCATAAGCGTACAATTTACTTTTATACAAATATACTTTTTCGTATTTCACTTTTAGTGTTCTTCAACTGTTTACACAAATTGTCTAGTAAAAATTATTTCAAACTTTGATAACACTCCATAATTTATTTTACGCACCAATTCAAATTCCAATTCCAAAAACCTGAACATTTGACAGTTCAGTTTTGAGAACTCTTCATCATTATGTCGCATTTCATCATTATGAAATGCATGTTTAATAATGAATTTGAGTACATATTATTTCATACAAGAAATCTTCACCAAACATTTTATGTGTTAATTGTAACTGAACAATTTCTCTTCCAAAATACTTCAACACCGAACACTGATTTTCAGAGCGAACCAATTATCGACACTGCTGAGAAAAAGGTACACACCCTTCTTTATGTTTTATGATTAAAAATTTATATTGGACTAATAAAGCGACACTGGTGTATTTTCATAAATTATCTTTTAACGCTGACCAAACGACTAGCAGCGGTTTTTATACAATTTGTATGATTAGGTCAAGTTGAAGTACTATCAAAGCCAGCGATGCATGCTATCGGTCAGAACTTAGAGTTGCAAAAACAATACAAATGGAAAAAAATATCTTAAACGCAACACAAAATGTTAATGGACATTAAAATTTCTACTTCAAAGGTTTCCCTAAGAGATGACATCAGGTCTAACTATTCTAACAGTTCCGAGGAACGAAGGCCTCGTATAGGTTGGAGGCTAGTGAAAAATGTGACGTCTGCTGCTAGAGTCTTGTCAGCGAAAGCGAGGGAAACTCCGACTGCTCCAGCTTTACCTGGCACACCACTGCCAAGTTTCCAAGTAAGAACTGTACTTGCAAATACTGGTCGTAAAGCACCAGTTTAAAAAAAATGAATTTGTTTAATAGTAATATAGACGTGATAGTGTCTTAAGGTAATCCAGACAAGAGTTATCAAGCAATTTATTTTATTTTCAGTCAAAACCAGACAGCAAGAGTTCTGATTATGCCAAAGAAGAAAGAAAACCTTCACTGCCTAATTATCTTAATGAAAAAGAAGAAAATGTAGGAGAGACTAATCCGGAGGTAGATAATTAGATGACTACATATTTTTTGCATGTTTGCCAGAAAGAATATTAGAAAAACGACAAGATATTGCCAACTTCTCAGTGAAATTGGTGAAATTACTTCTTTTATAGAAACAGAAAACAATAAAAACGGTAACAAAAATTATCCAGATTTACAATATAGAAAACCGAAAAAGCCCGTTAAATAAGCGCGAGATATAGAGAATACTTTTCAGGTACTCAGCATAAGTTTTAAGACGCACCTAAAATTAATGTTAAATCTTCTGGTATTTTTTCCCAGCGGCATGTCTTACTGAAAATTCTCACTATTTGCAGTGAAAAAGTGTAAAAAATATAATTGCTATTAATTAATGGTGTGCATTGAAAGTGAGGCCAAACACTAGTCGACCATGGCTTATGTAGCGCATCGTTTACAGGATAAGGCCATATTTTTATATATGAGTATGTATGTACGTGCGATTGAAGATGTTTGCTCAATCATCCGTTCATCTGTCATTTACATAAGTATTTAAAATGCCCGAAGAAAAAGAGAAAATTTGTAGACTTTAGTTTTATTCAACAACTTTTGGGATTTTTAGGATGACATTTATGACATCAAAAATTAAGCATTTCGTACAATACAATAGGAGAAACTAATGTCCGAATTCTTCTTTTTATTAAGGGCTTAGATCCTGAATCACTTATGTTTCGTGATGGTAGAAGAAGAATTGACATGGTTTTGGCTTTCGAAGAAGAAGACTATGGTGTGATGACAGAGGCTGAAGCTAGGCGTAGAGAACATAGAAGAACATTCCAAGTAATATTATTATGTAATAAAAATAGACGTGGAATAAAATTAATATAATCAATTTCTGCACCGGTGATATTATAACTAAAACCTGCTTATTAATTTTAGATTTGTTAATGGTTTTCTCTTATGCCCTTTGATATGAATTTATTTTTATTATTTAGTTGTAGTAAAATTTAAAAAATGTCATGGTGTTCACAAACCATTAATATTTATTAATTTATTCTCTTATAAGATATTCGCCAAATTAATAATTTAAATATTTTATATTCACAGTTTTACTCTATGTTAAATAATAATTATGAACTATTAGCACTTATAGTGCAAATAGTTATATACTCAGAACTAAGGTCTGGTACAGTGCGACGCGGATGACCTAGGCGGTTGTTAAAATCTTAGATTGTGTAGTATTAAAATGTATATTTCATAAACAGTCCCTTCAATGCGATGCGGAGCTGAAGCGGAGCTCTCACAAAATTTACCCGCAACGGATGCATCCGGCCTAAGTATTAGGGCCACTCCTAATTGTTCTCTTAAAATTTCAGGAAAACCTTATAAGAGAAGGACTGGAGTTAGAACTAGAGAATAAATGTTTGTCGTTCGATGAAAAGACCTGGTTCTTAAAAATCCATATACCTTGGAAGACTGAGATGCGATTAGCTGAAGTAATAGGAATGAAACTACCAACTAAAAGATTCATCACAATATCTGTTAGAGCTTGGGTAATTTGTTTTTTTATATTATTAATTAACGTTTTCATAAACTTTTACATTACTTTAAATATATCAATATTTTTTTATTATTATTCGAGTTGGCTTCTATTAGTATTTTTTTATTTAGAACGATGAAAAGCAAGCCGAGAAAGACAAAAGATGGCATTCAAAATGGCGCCGGCGATGGAAACAATTCTACGAGTACGAACACAGCAGAATTGAACCTGAACCTTCATTCTACACATCCACAGAACAGAAGGGCACTAGAAGAGAAGAGCAGTGAGTATTCAATATTAAAACAAAGGTTTTTACCAATCTACAGTCAGTAACACTATGCTGAATATATTTGTATTAAGTACATATATTAGTACATGTATTAAGTACATATCTTTACATTATCCGCATAAGTATTACACATACACACACACACACACACACACACATACACACACACACACACACACACACACACACACACACACACACACACCCACACACACACACACACACACACACACACACACACACACGCGCGCGCGGCATACTTACGTTACCTTATTAATATCTAACCATAGCGTATAAAAAATAATATCAAAAATTGTATGAAATCTTTCTTTGTCAAACAATTGGAAAGTTGCGAATCATTCTCATAACAAAATTCTTTGATTACTCGCTGCGAAGTCTCGGCGTATTTATTTTTATTTTATTTTTTACCAGGTTTCTAGTCAAGGATCGACACACACAATTCTCGCCTGCACAGAGAAGTTTGCTCGTTATGCAGATTTTGTTGAGAGCCAAATATGACAACACTGAGACTAAGGTAATGATCATCCTCATATTAATCATTTCTTTTTTGTATAAATCTATTTGTTTCTCGGTTTTCTATATATTTAGAACAGAGATATATACCTATGGCTTTTTTTAAAGATCTTCAATATCGCAACTACATTTGTCACAATATATCTCGTATTAGCTGTTTTCACGCGACTTTGCCCGCATACATTATAGCCTATGTAACTCGCGTCCGTGTATGACGAAGCTTCAAGTAGATTAAAAAAATTTAAAGTCGGTCCAGTAAATTTTGGGAGGCAACTTAATGGAAACACATAATCAAATTTTTCTACTTGGCGCCCAACATGGGATTCGAATTATAATTCAAACCCCACGTTGGGTGCCAATTAAGAATTTCGTATTTGATTTAACCCTATTGTATATTCTAGGTTAAGTACACAACATTTTATGAGGAAAATCCTGTAAGCATCTTAACTGTCAAAATCCAAACCATAAAAAATATACACACATTTTTATTGTAGTGTACCTAAACCTGGGTAAAATATAAAATTTATTGCCCTTTTTCAGATGGGAATACGCCGATTGCTCAATGATGGAACGTACTTAGCATGTTTTCCATTACATGAGGGTAGATACGACATGGATATGCGTGATGGTTCAGTCACTGATAGAAGAGTAAGTGGGCGAATTTAGTTTTATTGAAATTAGCATGCAGGTTAAGTTTGCGACCACGTTCAGTCGTTTTCATTTTCGCATTTGTTCGTGGCTCCGGACACTTCAGGCGCGTTTGCGACTGGTTTCGCACAGATATAACCCATGTTTGTATTTTGATTGGAATGATGGAGTAGCTCGGTGGCGTAATGGATAAGCGCTGTGGCACGCGATCGTTGTTGTTAAGCATCTTTCGCATCTTTCGTCACGGGATGGGTGACCAAAAAAAAATTATCTCGAGCTACACCGTGCTTCAGAAGGCTCGTTAAGCCGTTGATCCCGGCTGCATTTGCAGTCCTTAATACTCTTCGATACGCATTGGGAACCAACCATCCATAAGGAAGGCCTGAGCCCCTGCAGTGAGAACGTAATAGGGCTGATGAATGAATGAATGAATGATGGAATATTATAAGCATTTTGCAACATTTAATTTAATACTATTTCAGTCAACAGTCAATTTGCAATGAACGTTGCTACGATAGCAAATAAATAGTAATATCAAACAATTTCTAAGAACTTGAGTTTAGTAATTGGTTAAGTTGCAATGACTTTATTCAATGCAAGCTAACACAAGTTTGTACCAAAAGTTTGTTTCATCTTATTTAAATTTTCTTTTCCAGTTGCTCTATTTAGAATGGGCCAGGCCTTGCAAGTGGTATAAGAAACAGCCTCTGTGGCTGGTAAGAAGATATTTTGGCGAAAAAATAGGCCTCTACTTTTGCTGGCTGGGCTTTTACACGAAGATGTTATATGCACCAGCTATTGTTGGGACTCTATGTTTTCTTTACGGCTTAGCTAGTATGGAATCAAGCGATAATATTCCTAGGTGATATAATTCAATCGTTATATTTAAAATAATATAATGATAACATTTAATGTTTGCAATTCGGGAAAAAAATAAACAAACTAAAAAGAAATCTCATCTTCCACTGATCAATTTATACATATATAATTAACGTTTGAAAAAACTTGCATGTAATACCGAGAATCGAAATTTAAAACATTAATTTCACCTAATGTAGTCGAAAGTCTATAGCATTATTTTGTTTTACAGTCTAGAAATTTGCAATACCAAAGGTCCAGGGAGCACGACGTTATGTCCCCTCTGCGACAAAGCTTGCCAGTATCAGACCCTATCAGATTCCTGTCTTTTCGCCAAACTGACTTACCTCTTTGACAATCCGGCTACCGTCTTTTTTGCTATTTTTATGTCATTCTGGGGTAAGTTTTTGATAATTTAAATATTTTCATCACACACATTTCATAATACGAATTTCTAGGTTAATCATACAATTTGTGAGAGGCTGGTGCCTGATTGAGTTTTGGATAGATCTAGGTCACCAGGTTACCTGAACGATATGTTTAAATAATGTACCAAGGGTCATTTATGATGATTGATTGCGTGAGCGAGTTTGAATATGGCACATTGTGAATAAATTAAATTTAAGAAACAGTACAAGAGTTTTAATTGATGTGGCAGAAATAAAAATAAAATACATTATATTATCCTTGAAGATTAGTTGAACAATAGAAGTGTGCATTAGGAGACAGATAAATATGCATTAGGTTCAAACTCTATCAGTCCAACCTCCAAAAGTTTCCAGCACGGCAAATATAATTTGGTACATTAAGGCTTTCTTTCTCGCATAAACCCTGTCTACTAAATGATTTATCGATATGAACTCTAAGCAAATTTTGATATTTGTATTCCGTCTAGTAAGTTCCACGCACGCAATTTTATACAATAGCAGTTGTAAGTGCATCGAAATCTCATTTATACAGTTATATTTACATGCAAGATGAATCAAATGGTTCATCATAGAGCATTTGCTACTTTTGATACGTGGTTGATCTGGCTCTGGATCTGGTCATAGTGTTCACAGCTATAAACTTATTTGATGGCGGTCTACTTTACCACCATCACCATCGTTACGTTTCACCAAAGTAACAAACTGTTAAATTTTCAGCCACCACGTTTCTGGAGCTCTGGAAAAGGAAGCAATCTATTTTGCGATGGGAATGGGATCTCTCTAGTGTCGATCATGTAAGTTATTAATTGATATTAAATAATTATTGATGTATTAATTCGATATTTTTCCAAATAGGCACGTTTTGAATCCTCAAAAATCTCAATTATATCAACATTTTTGTTAACAAATCGATGACACTCAATATTGAGATTAGGATCTAAATATTTAACCTTTAAATTTGAATTTTGTCTAGTTTCGTGAATAACTTAATTTTCATATTTTGTAACCAGTAAAACAATGCAATCTTCTAAAAGTATATTCGATTACTTCAGTATCTTTGAAGTCTTAAGACGTTAATTTTTTTTAATATGATTACGGATACCGTTATCAACAACTATAAGTATTTACTTGATTATAAGCCACTATAAGCCATTTGAAAAAATATCTGCAGAAAAGTGGATCCAACAGTCAGCCAAATTCTTCACAATCTCATTTTCTTTTCACTTTCGCATAGATGAATAATGCATTCGTAATTTCCTAATTCAGGATGAAGAACCGAGACCTGAATTCGAAGCATCAGTGAAAACCTTCAGAACAAACCCTGTGACGAGGGAAAAGGAACCGTATTTGCCGGCGTGGCAGAAGACCATGCGGTACGTGGCTACAAGCTCAGCTGTACTTTTCATGGTGGGTGTTTATTACTAAAAATAAATACATTTATTATATCCACTACTGGAGCACAAACCTTCACTATAGATGGAACCAGTATAAGAAGAATGGTTATAAACCCCTACGCGGGCTCAAAAAGGATTAATGTGATCAGCTTTCCAAGCTACAAAGGAGTTCAAGATGAAAAAGAAATTATCCTCCATCTTTTGGTCCTTGCGAACATTACTTAACCTCCATATCCAGAGACCGAATACGCAATTGTAAATAGAACGCAGTAATTGCTGTTCCATGGAGTTTTTTAACAATAATACTAATAAATCAAGGTTTACTTTAAACAACTCCCCATTCCCTTGTTTATTCTTTTGTAATTGAAAAATTGACTGTCTGATCTTTCGTATTTCAAAAGACACTTCAAGAAGTAGAAAGTTATATACATTAACAAGATGATCCTGCAAAAAGAGAGATAGCAACTAATGATTGTTTGTTTGTTAGTCCGTCAGGTTTAAATACGTATTTTATATTTTTTGCGTAATCAATAAATTACGGCGGTACATTGAGTTGAAATGTTGCATGACGTTACGCTTTTGTACATTTTCTACAAAACTGTGACGTAGCGAGCCCGCAACTCATCTCTAATGCCTATTATCTAAGCCATTTCTTGTTTAAACTGATGCAAAAATTAATACGTATTTAATATTTTTCTCTTCTCTGACGGGCTAAATAGAACTTCTTTTTTTTTTTACCCAGTCGTCATCCCTATTTATTTTGTTGCGCAACAAGGGGTACATTGCTCTCTCTTATATAAAAATAAGTTATAGACCAACAGATCTTTCACTCAATATATGTAGATTAGTGAAGATGATGAAGTATTAAATTCCTTCATTAAAAATGGACACAAACACACTTCTGTTTCTATTCTTAGATAGATTTACGGCAGTAAATCTATCGTCGTATCGAGATCAATCGCCACTTTGAACTCAGATTTGGACGTGTGCCAAACGAATTTATAATATCGACACTTCTTTAGCGTTTTGTAAATCATTACAAGACTCTTAATGAACAAATAAAAATATTCGACATCACACAATATTTCCAACGATCAACTTTGTTTATCTTTCTTTAAATTCAACGAAGAATTAACAGTTAGAGGTTTTAATAGTTTTTAAATTAAAAACTGGCTCTATTTTTTCACGGAAATTAGAATTACTAAGGAACATTTTTATTAGCTATCATCCAGCAGAAGATGTGATATTATTTTTAAATATGATATTATTATTTGATTTATAATTTCTGTTATACTAAAATCATCTTCTATCGAAAGGTTCTCTTTAAGTATAGTAATAATGCCTCCGATTTCATTATTTGTATTTTTAACACTAGTGTTCTCTAATATGTATTGGAGCAACAAACAGCTTCACGATGAAATCATTATAACTCACGTATTCTTATTGTTTAACCAACACCGTTGACCACAAGCAGTTAAATACATTTAACTATATCGTTGAGAGCAATAGTAAATTTAAAAATTATTCATTTTGAGGAATGTGTTTTGTGGCGCAATGTTAATTTCAGGTTATTAATTATTTAATGATACATTTCTTATATGATGGTACATTAAGATTAAATGTATCAACATTCACAAAATATTTATTATATGTGTCGGTAATGCAAGGGTGAGCGTTAACTAAAACTTATTGTGATTTTTTTTTTCAGTAGAAAATGATTTAAGTGTGCGGCATGTTCGTATGCATGGTCTAACCGGCACTTGATCCTACTGTATTCTGAAATGACTTACTTTATTAGCTATTTATTTAGGTTTAATACTTAACAAGCCTTTAGATGTTGTAAAAAATGTCCATGCATGAGGATAACCATTCATTTATACCTAGAAAGGTAAAGGGAAGTTAGTTTTTGTAATTTAATAATTACTCACTTTGGTTAATTGAAATAAAATTATGTTGAGCTTGCTTGATTCTGTGTTTTTCTTACATTTTTAAATGAAATAAGTAGACATTGTGATCAAATTTCGCTTACACCAATGTTACCTTTGTAATTTCTTTCAGATTACAATTGTGATGGGTGCTGTGTTAGGCACCATAATTTACCGTATCTCCATGGTCTCAGTCATCTACGGCGGCAGCGGTTTCTTCTTGAAGAAACACGCCAAAATCTTCACTGCGATGACAGCTGCACTCATTAACTTGACCATTATCATGATTCTAACAAGGGTAAAATTATTCAAAATAGTTGAAAAATCTCCAAGACTATTAATAAAGTAGTCCTATAATAAATTATGGACATGGAACACAAAACTTATTTTGCACAAGATTACTTATTTGGAGAATTTTATATCTTAGAACACTTGACGTGTTTTTTTAATTATAGGTTACATATCAATATTATTGCTATAAGAACAAATTGATTTTCGCTATGAAACTATAAAGAAATATGCTGTGTTTAATATAATATGTTAATACATAGCGACCTCCTTTATTCCTGTTATAAAATGGTCCAACGGTGTTTTTTTTAATAACTCACAAAGTCTGAATTCTAAATCTTCCGTTTTTCTTACTAGATATACGCAAAAGTAGCAGTTATCCTAACAAACATGGAAAACCCTAGAACACAGACGGAATATGAAGATTCATATACTTTCAAAATATTCTTCTTTGAGTTTATGAACTTCTACTCGTCGTTGATTTACATAGCCTTCTTCAAGGTGAGTCTAGTTTATTTAAAGCTTTGGTTCTAGATTCACTGACCGGCGCGACACTACAAACTTTGATTTTACTAACGATTCTATTTGGAAGTGATACAGCGTATAGTGGTGTATCATTTGAGTAAGCGCTTGTATCACACTTATGCATGATTTTTATGGTTCTGTAGCACAAAAGGAAAAAAAAAATACCAGAACCCTTCTGATTTATTTATCTGACCCTCTGTCCGTCTGCTCTCTATATCTAATTTGCTCTGATGGTATTGGAACAATTGATGCATATCAAAAAGTTGAAAGCAGACTAGAGATATTAAAGAGACAAATTCTGACGTAAATAAATAAATTTTAGTAATTGGTACAGATTTGAGGATAAATTTGTGATTAATTCATTCGTCTATCAATACTTGATCGAATGAGAACGCCTATTGCAAACTTAATAGCAAATCGCTTAAATATGTTGCTTATCTAGCTGGAGAAAAAAAAGATAAGGCAATCAAGATAATCAAAATTATACCCAGTTTAGATCATTATAAAAACAACTATTTTAGAATCTTTACAACTACATGAAGTTATATATAACATTATTAAATAAAAATAATTAATTAATAAAGGAAGAATTTATGAAAGAAACTGAAGTAGAGTGATTATTATGTGCCCACTCTGCTATAAATAGTCTTAATCTCTTAATTTTGCTTTGTTTAGGGCCGCTTCTACGACTACCCAGGGGATGACCAAGCGCGCAAGTCTGAATTCTTCAAGTTAAAGGGCGATATCTGTGATCCAGCCGGCTGCTTATCTGAACTTTGCATACAACTCGCCATCATAATGATAGGGAAGCAATGTTTCAACAATTTCCTTGAGCTCGGATATCCGTGAGTGTTTATTATATTTTTTTGAATACTTTATAGAAGAAACAATGACGTATACTCAGAATAAATGTTATGCTTACATATAATTTTTACCAAATAATAAAAAAAAAAACCCTGGTTGGCTGTATCATTGATACAGCCATATTTTATGCGTGGATACGTCTATGTATGAATGGATATATGAGTAATTGATAAAAAAATAAATAAACAAATTGAAGACACTAAACACTAAATAAATAAATATTCGTTGCGTTCATTTGTTGAATGAAAAAAGTATTCACTAGCGCCAACAGATGGCGTTAGTGCATATACTCCTGCTGACAGAATGCCCCTCCCCCTGCAGAGCAAGCATAGTTCACTTATACGCCAATAGATGGCGTTAGTGCATATACTCCTGCTCACAGAATGACCCCCTGTAAAACGAAAACATAGACGTATCCACGTCAAAAAAAAACAAGAATCACCGAATGTAGCCCTACTTGTTTGGATCTGCTGTTTAATTTTTAAGTCGAGTGATCAACAATTTCGTAACTGTAGGAGAGTTTGGGTTTTCGGATCACAGGGATTGCTTTTCTCAGTCCCAAAAAGTAGACTCTCCAATTCAATTTTCAATTGTAAAGAGTGTTTTCAATAACAAAAATATATGTAGATTTAAAAAAGAACTCCAAAATATTGAATGGGAAGATAAAATAAAACCAAAGATTTCTATAAATGAACATTTTAACAATTTACACCTAACATTTAAATTCTTTTCTTACTCAAGGTCTTAGAATTTCTTATCATAATAAAAGATTAAGAAAGTTTCTTGTAGCAAAAACAAATAATTTAATTTTATGTCTAGAGAGATAAAATATTTTTATTTCATAATAAAAAATAAATTAAATTTTTATTCATCCTTCCTATCCTTAAGGCCTTTGCAAAATTTTCCTAACTTGCGCATCGCAAATTGATCGCGCTTACTACTACGCTATCGAGCTCCACAAATGCAATAACATCGCATAAGTTAAAATAGTTGCTTTATTTGATTGTTCTACAAGGAACACCCCTAGGCCCGCAGTTTTTAAATGTAATTTTAAATTGTTTCCAGTAAGTTTCACAACTGGTGGCGGCAGCGTTCCCATCGCGCGGTGACGCGGGACCTCAATAAGCCACATATGGCATGGGAGCAAGACTACCATCTACAAGACCCTGGCCGCCTCGCTTTGTTCGACGAGTATTTAGAAATGAGTGAGCTTTCATAATATTATTTAATAAAAATAAAAAATGTTACAAATGTTTTTTTAAACATGGTAAGTTTTTATTATAAAGGCTATTCAAAAGTCAGGCAGATTATAATTATAACAGAACCAATATTGGGCCATTTTAATATTTGCTTAATGACGTCCAATAAACAATCATGCAAAAGGTGATGACAATTTTTGTATTTGATGTGAAAAATACAAACTTGTCTGATATAATTTCTTTGTCATTTTAGTTCTTCAGTATGGCTTCGTAACTCTGTTCGTGGCAGCATTTCCATTAGCCCCATTGTTCGCTCTACTTAACAACATAGCCGAAATAAGATTGGATGCATACAAAATGGTCACACAAGCCAGAAGACCGCTTGCTGAGAGAGTAGAGGATATAGGGGCATGGTAAGAGGCAGAAGAACTTATAGATCCATATTAATAACATAACAAAAGAACGACTATTTATCATGGTTTCATATAACTTTATTATTGTTCTTTATTTCCTGCAAAACAGTCAAAATAGCGTTGCTTTTGCTGGAATATATAATCGTATTGACAATGTAATTTCAGGTACGGCATATTGAGGGGCATCACTTATGCAGCTGTCGTGTCTAATGTAAGATTTTATTTATTAATCAAAAGCTCATTTTTAATAACAGATCTCATCATAATAATCAGCCTTTTTGTCCCTAAATTCCTAGATCAATTACAGTTCTGACAAGTTTTTATAAGTATATTTTTATTACTTAGTAAGATTCCCTCGGATATCCCACAAGGATTACTCTTGGGACCGCAATGATTCAATTTAACCGAAGTAATAAGTAGTAGTTATTCGTTATTGGATATAATATGTATATTTTTACCTCGCTAGATTCTAATATAATGTCCACCAGATATTTCTATTTACATTTTCGTTTCATTTCAGGCGTTTGTGATTGCATACACCAGCGACTTTATACCACGTATGGTATACAAATATGTATATTCGCCAGATAACACCCTTACTGGATACATAGATCATTCCTTGTCATGTAAGTAGCTAATTATAAACTATAAAAATGAAAACAAAGATAAGATATGTGAGAAAAAAGGTCAACCGCCGATTATCCGACGCAAAAATAGTACTTATAATTAACCTACTGCTTATTCTAGTGTTTGTTAATGTTATATAGTTTTACTATTATTTTGAGATAACACTATCTAAATATAATTGTTTTTAAATATTTATATATATTTCCGTTAAAACTTTGAAAAATATATACAAATAGAAAAATATTTTAGCGAAATTATCAATCCGAAATATATTCATAAAAATAAAATATATTCCCATTATTACATAGAACGATATTTGGTCTGCGATGGTGAAGTCGAAAAGTCTCGCGAATACATCGCGGTTGAGTGATTAAAAATAAATAATTCACCAAAACAAATATTTACTGTGGCTCCCTATATCTGCAGTTGCTAACGTCCACCAATCTGTATAGGACCAGCGTACTTTATTTAAGATTTTAAAAGTTATAACTAGTTATTGTTTATGATTTATAGAGAGTGAGTTTTATGATTTATAAAAAAACAAGACACACACAGTAGTAAGGCGTTTGACAATTTTGACAAATGAATGTTAAATAATCATTAAAAAAAATCCTACTACTAATGAATAATACTACATTGATTCCATCTTTAGTGTTCAACACGTCTGATTACCGTGAGGAGTGGGGCGCGGACGAGAATGAAGTAGACCCGCCGACGTGTGCGTACCGCGGGTACCGTAACCCGCCCGACCACCCCGATCCTTACGGCCTCTCACCGCACTACTGGCACGTATTCGCTGCCAGGCTTGCCTTCGTAGTAGTATTCGAGGTACGGTACAAATCACAAAAACGGTGAGATAGTGTGAATAATATATCCACACTCCATATATCATTAAATTTTAGATAATAATTAAAAACTTCGGTTTTTATTTTCTATTTATATATGAAATACGTAATTTGTTAGTTTTTGTAATCACTTGTTAACTCGTGTATCAAAGTGCACTGTATAACTGTATTGCCTAAGGATGAATAAATTGAGTATGAGTGTGAGTATCCTAAACCATTTCGAAGTTCGTGGATTTAGAGTAAGCATTTGACAGAGTAGTAGTATAGTATGTGTGTGTGTGTGTGTTATGTGCAAGGAGCTGTATTCGCTGCCTGGCTCACTTTCGTCATATTTATTTATGGCTCATTATTAAAAAACAGATAGTATAGTCAAAATACTTTTATTGAAAACTGCTTCTAAATCCACTTTGTCCCTGGCTCTCTGAGATAGGACTCGCACCCACGACTCAGAAATAAAATTTTATTAGGAAAAGCTTCGTTTCATGTGTGAATAATGTTTCAATTAGTGTGTAAATCTTGTGTCGCTTCCACGTTGGGAGCCAATTAATGATATACGCTTCACATACAATATCTTTCAGCACGTGGTTTTTGGGCTGACCGGTCTGATGCAGCTGTTCATACCGGATGTACCCACTGAGCTGCGCACTCAGATGCAGAGGGAAGCACTTCTCGCTAAGGAGGCCAAATATGAACACGGACGTAGAAGACTATCTACTGAGTATAGACAACTGATCACACAGAAGAGTGATAGTAGTTCTGGTAAGTAATCTGTGGTATTCTAAAATGTTTATAATTTCTAAACGACATATTAATTAGCATTCAAATATTTACAAACAAAGCCTGCACTAGAGTTTAAATATTTTTTCAAAGTGAGTTATTGGTATTTAAGAAAATAAATCTAAATCCATCTATCTTAAATTATTATCTCAAGTTACTCTGTGCTTCAGAAGGCACGTTAAATCTTTAGTCTCGGCTACAATTGCAATCATTAATACCCTTCAATTAGGCCAGCATGGAGGGCTATGGCCCATTCTCCTCAATCGTCTACAAGGAAGGCCTGAGCAGTGGATTTTTCAAGCATTTTTTATTAAGAATATTATCCAATAAAGCATTATGAGGGAATGCAAATTGATCAAATTTACTGATGACGATGTTATTAATATTCTAGAACGACCAGCAGCATGGTTGAGACGCACGTCCAGAGCATCAGACGGCCTAGACGCTCACGTGGCAGTCGCACAGAGACCATCATCGCCTACTATTACGCATTAACCATATTTTAATTAATTATCTGAAAATTGTTTAACTGTAAGTGATGCACCTGCATTTCTAACAAACTAAAAGCTATGACATTCATAGGATGGACCAAGTAAAATACGTACTTTAGTATTAAGCTATGAAATGTCACACAATAGAGATGAGGTCTGGGTAAAAATAAGGAACTCCAGTCAGTCAGTCAGATAATAGAAAAATATTAGGTGCGTTTATTTTTGTTTCAATTTAACCAACAATGCAGAAAACTAATGCCTTTGACAGCTGAGGTGTGTCAAAGTACACTTCCTTGTAACTATTATATTGGTCTAAACCAGGAGTGCGACCGTCTAACTCTCTAGCCTTGATTCAGCCATAAGGATTCAGCGAAGTTGTGTCGGTTATTCGTTTCATTTTACTATTTAATCCCGGACGCAAAAACGACCCCGTCGTTTTAATTATAAGTTTGACGAGTCTATGTGTCTGTGTGTGTGTATGTGTGTGTGTGTCTGTGTGTGCTGTTTTGGCATCATAGCTCCCGAACGGATGAACCGATTTTGATTTTTTATCTAAATTATTAACAATCACGGAATGATAAAGAATACTGATTGTATTGTAATATTTGATAGCAGCGTTATCGAATTAGTATTTTTGTCTCAAATCTATCAACCAAAAGATGTGTCAAATAAGAAAGATGAAAGGAAATATCTTATAGCTAGATTCATGGTTAGAGATTGGTCGGTCGCTCTGTAGGCTGTAATCTTGAAATGGCCAAAACTGGATCATTTACCCTAGCCCATTTTTGCTAACAATTTGATTGGAACGTGTTACGTTAAATTGTCGAATATGCTATGTGTAATTGAAATAAATGCATTAGGAAATGTCACTCTAAATTACAAACTAGTAATAAAATTTTAAACGGGTCCAAAGAAATGCGTAGCATAAATAAATTATTGAACTAAAGTAGTTAAAACGTATTGAAATGTTATTTTTGTAAGATTGTGTTTGTTGTATGATATAGATTATATTATAAAAATAGTCATTTGATATAAAATGTTTATTGTAAATTACTGTATTCTTACATATTTTATGAAGAACGAAATATCAAATTAGCCAAAAATTTTTACAAAAAATTAGTTGCATCAACTCCGCGGTCGGATGGCTTGTGAACTGATATCATAAATCTGGTTTCGGCTTGTAAGCCATTTCATAAATCTGGTTTCCTGCTTCTATATTGTCACGAATCTAGTCATGGCGTAGACTTGTGTGTTTTTTTCCATCTATATTTCAAATTGGATAAAGCTTTAAATTTTTCAGAGATCAACTGAAACATATCGGCCATTAGTCGGTTAATTATATGTACAGCTGTTGCTGTGCCATAGCTTTTTGATGTAGTCCAATGAGTAATGTAATATATGTAGCCGTTGATGTTAGGGTCTTCGAAGTTGAACATCAAAGTAATTTTATCTTTACGTCACCAATATTTTGCTATTAATAGTAATTGTGTGTTGGTCGGACATCATCACCACCCGATCAATATCCCCACAGCTGGGGCTCAGACCTTCCCCGTGGATAGAGTCTAATAGCTCAGTGCGGAATGGCCCAGTGGATGTTAATGACAACAGATGCAGTCGGGATCAAAGCATAACGTGCTTTCCGAAGCATGGAGGAGCTTGAGATAATAATTTTTTGGTCACCCATCCTATGACCGGCCCTTGTGAAAGTTGCTTAACAATCGTATCGTATACCGAATGCACTAATCATTGAGCCATTGAGCTTTTCGAGCCCCTTTTCTGGTGATCTAAATTAATTTGTTAAGCACTTCATTGTTGTGTTCTTTTTACTTAAGACCAGTGACGAATTAAGGGTCAAGTCACCTTCGGCTGGTTTAAGACCATGTGTTTTTTTTCATGTTACATAAATATTAATATGATATAATTTTAGTTCAAGTTTTTTAAATGGTTGTCTCTGAAAAATCAGGAAAATGATATATTTAGAATAAAACACACGTACACTAGCAAATATATTTTACAATCTTGGTTGTCAGCTACAGTAGTTTCAATTCTATGTATGTATACTATTACTATAGTATATATACATAAATATATTATAGTATTTATAATTCTTGTATCTATAATCGAGAGAATTACTTGAAAATATGTTATATATAACTTAAGCTAATAAATTAACAATAATCTGAATGAAATAAAAACTGTTTATAATCAGAATACATTACTATTAGCTATTAACAGTTCTTCTTTCAATTAAGTTCTCGTCTAGTGTTTAACACTAGAAAGACGGACAGGGGTCTTTTGATCCATTTTGAAGGTTAGCGGTGTATAATGTCTGAAGTATTCGGAAACAAATTCGGTCAGGTGGGTCGACAAGCACGGCACAACATGTTGACTGGACAGTGTGGACCAACTCTTTATGCACAAAGGCAAATTAGAGTCGATTTCATGAGTGACTGGAAATTATTACTCGAAGATAATATGTATACTGCGTCACATCAAAACATGCACTGAACTGAAGTTTACCGATTGTTTGGCCATTCAAACTGGTTATTAACTTAAAAAAATATACTTAAAAAAAAATCATATCAATGTTATACTCCAAGGGGCATTTCAATCAATGAAATATTTACATGTGTCAAAATTGTTACTGGCTATATGAGTCTTGGTCATTAAAAACTTTATTATTATACATCAGGATTCATTTTGAATAACTTCTCCCCTCCTTATTGCACTAAAATATTGTTTTTGATGTATTGGGTAAAATGCCCCCTTGCCGACTTTTTAGGTAAACTATTTCTCGTCTTTGTAGTGTTAAAAATATTTGCATAAGTTATGATATTTTCTCAAGTAATTACCTCTCTCTCTGCTATAGATACGAGTTTTTTGGAACATCGATTAAAATTGGACCAGTAAATTTAGAAGATCAATGAGATTTGCCAACTAAATTAAGCTTGATATTTCGTTCAAGACTGTGTTGTCCCAATAATTGTGATATTAGATAATATAATTGTATTAAGTCACTATGTAAATATGACAATTAAAATTAATAGCCTACTTCAGTCGGTATTGATAATGATTATAATTTAATTAAGAACTATTTAAATTATATTCATAATTCATTGGTAGAAATTCATTCTTATGGTAGGAGATTGTCCAACTTTGGACTTTGGTTTTGATCACAAATTATTTTGTCTTTTGTTCACCGGATTCGTGAGAAAAAACCTAATAATCGTCATATCATATATTATTGATATTTTGACTTAGGTCATTACCTAAGTCAAAATATCAAATGTTAACAATGCAAGTGACATTTGACTATTTGACGGAACTTCCTCTATAATTTGCATTTGTTCAATGAATTTTTTTTTTAATATATTGAGTACATATTGCTACAAAACGAATCATATTTTGTCAAATACACACTGTATAATAGGGTTGTCTACTGTATCATAAGTTCACTTTTAATCGGAAAATGTGCACCTTAATATTAACACATGCTGTATACCAAAGTGGGCTCTTATTACTGTTTAAACTCCAATGTCGGAGTCAGACACCGCCATAATAATAAAAAAAAAATATTAATATACTCCAGAGTGGTAAGCCTAAGTTTTATGGTGAGTGATTTGTAGTTTTTGGTTGATACTGCTATGTGACCAAAACATAAAGCGAACCAAGCGAGCGCAGCGAGCATTACAGCGATAACGGCTGGGCGCCATTCCAATATACTCAAGTTAAAAAATTATGAAAATGGATATGGAAAACATAACATAAAATTACTGGGTTCCAGGCCGAATAAATTAAAAAAAAAAATCAAGGTGGTGGTTTTGTACGCATTGAATTATTTCATCTAAATAAATAGTAACTATGTTAATATCAGTTTTGTATTTAACGAATCGGCTACAATTTGCCTACGTCACCCGCTCAATCCAACATATGTGGTCCTTCGAGCCAGATATGAACCAGCGACCTGTTAAAATAAGATAAACTTAAAATATTTTAGACAATTTTTTTTTTCAATAGCAATCGGGGGGTATACGGATTATATTGCTTACAAAAACTTTTTTATTAAATAAGGTTAAGTCAATAATTTTTATTTTTATTTATCACGCTGTCAAGTGGTCTAATCTGTTAGGTAGGTTAGGTTAGTGGGTTATTACAGTGTTTTATTACAAGCCTTATGTAAACGTATATTTATAATACTCATTGTTCAGTAATTAAATCGTTGTTATGTATATTTTGTTGTTTCATTCCATACCGTATACCAAACATCAAAATCCGTTCAGTAGCCATAAAAAAAAAACATACATAGCAGGCAGTAAAGTAGCGTGTCTTTGAAGGGCCCTGTATCAAAATTATAAGGCGCCCAAATCAAGAGTAAAATTTTTTGCTTACTTAGGTACATTAGGGCCCCCTGTAGCGCGGGGCCCATTATTGAATGGCTGATATGGCAGTAGCTACACCTCTAGGGTGCGACCGCCTAACTCTCTAAGGCGCCATCTCCA